CACAACTGCACTTGCTATTTCCATATTAGCAGTTCGTATCTGTTCTGCGTTTGATGAATATGCCCCAAGTGCTTTTCTCTTATTTCATCTCCAGCAGCCGAGGAAGGGAATAAATCAGCTCACAGAGAGCTCTGTGTAACCAAGTCTGGGCTGCTTTAAGTACCCAGGCTGTCTCACTGAAAGCCAGACAGGGCATCTCTATGCTGGGCTGCTCTGTGCTGCTGGATGCCTCTAAAGCAATGGATGTGCTCCCTCAGCAGCTTGGGAGAGTCCCAGTGTCATGCCTGAGTCTATTTCCAGACGCTCCCTCAGAGCATCATCTGTTAATCAAACACAAAAGCCTGGCGAGTCATACACGAAAAGCAATTTCCCTGACCAAAGCAGGCTGCAGTCTCGGAAGGCCTTTCTTTCTGCCTCTGAAGCTCTGCACTCCCCAGAGGACATGTCCTTTCCCTGAATCCCCTGCTGAGTCATGTCACAGACAGGCAGTACTTAACTCGTCCTTGGCTGCTCTACCTGTTCGGAGAGAGCTCATCGTATTCTCTGGGCGAGGACCTGGGCTGGGCTGTGTGCTCATAGCTCCACTAAACTGAAGAGGATTTATACCAGACGGAGATTCAGCCCTGAGTTTTGGGTGCACCTCAGCTCACAATTTTGCAAGGGGGTAGGAAAAAACACAGCTTGCTAATTGTAGCAGAAAATAAGAGCTTTTGAGGGTAAAAGAGGTCATTTTCTCATGGTGAGTCTTTCTTCCCATCCCTCTACTCCAAAACTTACTTGTGGTGCACTGAGTGTAGCAGATGCTGCCTTAGCTTGTTCAGGAATCGCATTTCAGTTGGTCCACTCTGCAATGTTCACCTTAGCGTTTGGTTTCCAATTTCCTCTGCTGTAATTCGAAAAACCGCACCTTCAGGAGAGGGAGTGTTGTGTATTTGACTTCTAACACCAGAGAAAAGTCTTCCTTGATGCCAGGAGATTAGTAGGTGTCTTCTCTTGCAGTTTTCTTACTAGTTTATATACTGCGTACCACCTTCAGATCTGGTTTTGTGGCATCGAAGCGTTTTGGAAATGTGGATTCTCCTCACGTTTGGTTCCAGACAGGTTTCTTGTAAAATGTTAAGTCTGAATGATTTTTTTAATTTTTTTTAAATGCTGTAGCACCTCCGGGCTGCAAAAATATATCATAGAAATGATAATTTATTACTGATGCTTTTGGTTCTAATAGATGTAGTTTTGCAGGGTGGTATCTTTTAGATGCTTTGTTCTCTCCTGCCATAAAGCTGGGCTTGGTTTACATGACAGCAAAAAGGATGTGTTCTTGAAAGTATACTCGTGTAACTGCTGTAATTCAGTGCACAGTTTGCACATCAGAGTGAGGTCTGACTTGTGCCATTAGGTCAGACCCTTTCGGAAATCCACTAACTTATACCCTTTATTTATATTTCATCCAGTGAAATTAATAAGTATCGATAAGCTAATTAGATTAGTAAGTTTTCTTCTATTCCTGCTTTCTATATTGACTTTTAAATGTCAGTGACTTTTTTTTTTACTTTGAAATTGTTTAAATGCACAGAACAGTCTATTTCACTTTTACTGCCTAAAAATCTATCTTTCTTTTCTTCCATGTGATTATGTCTCTATGAGAGTTTGAAATCCTGCATGTTTAAAGTTTGGGTTTAAAGCAGAAGACTTTAAAGAAATCTCAATCTTTTTACGGGATCTAAAATTACTCTAAGCATATCCATTTATAATAAATTCTGTAATAATCATATATGTAGATTAAGTTCAACATACTGGTTTTATAAATTGACAGGATACCTTGAAAAGCAATCCATCAAACAGACTTTGAAGCTAAAGAGACACAAGACTCCTACGCAAATCCAGTATTAGGAGACATATTTAATTTCCACAGAATGCTTTAATCCAACTTATTAATTTCTTTGAGGAATCACCATGTGGAGTTCTGCATGATAAGTAGTATATAAAATATATATTTTAAAGGAGATTAATTCCGTTTTAAGGGAATATTTTGTAACCATGTCTATCCCTTCAGTGAAGCAATTGGTCATTTTTTTTCAAAGACTGCTAAATCCTGTTATAGGTAACATTAATTGTCCACGTGAGAGTTATTTTTTGCCACTTATTAAGTTTCCCAGGTTCAGGAAGCAAGAATCTAGTCTGTACTTATATGTAGAAATTTACATCGTATATGAAAAATTAGATGTGTGAAGAGTTTCATTTTCATTTTTCAAATCATACCTATCTAATTAGACACCCTCTCGCAAGGTTTTAGAGTTCATACACTACTTCTGATAACATGGTGCCTGCTTCCATATCCACGTGGTCTCCCCGGTGGAAGCTGGTAGCAGGGATGATGTGGTTTTGTCTGGGCAGGGAGGAGACAGAAAACTCTCTTGTCTCTGTCTACCACAAAGCAGTTTTTAGGAGGGGAATGGTTTTGGAATCCAAAAGAGAGGGCAGGGCTTGTGTACCCCAGTGATCAAAGGGTGCTTCCTGGGGAGAGTGTGCGGTGGGACAGGAGCCGGCATGGATCCCTCGCCTGCCCCTCCACGGGCCTGGGAGGAGGATGTGCTTCCTTCCAGCTGCAAACCCCTTGGTGCATACTTCATTGGTGAACTGTGGACATTCTGAACACCGGGGCCTCACATACTTGTAATGAAAATGTATAGCCCTCTAAACACTAGCTACTAATCCAGAGGTAACTAGATGACTTGAGGGATTAGAAAAGAGATTTAAGAGTGACTTGCGTACCCACAGTGCTGTTTTGGAGCTTAGTCGAATTCCACAGAAATTAGTGAAATGTTTGAGTTCATAGGTTGAGTCCAATTCTCCTGTTTTGGTGGGGAAAGCATGAAAGGTCCAAATCAGCCTTTATTCCAAGATTTCAGAAGTATGAATACGAAGAATACTCTACACAAAAATAAGTAAGAGTTAACGTCAAATTAAGATCTTCAGAAAGCTGTAGAAGAATGTTTTGCGAATTGCCTCAAAATATTTCGGTGATGTTGTTCATCCAGTTATAAAAGTATTGGTCATATGAGTCAGTTTTAGGCTTTAAATATCTCCAGAAATCTGGGAAGTATTCTGATCTGGGGTTTTAGATAAGCGTATCACTATGGGGGGAGGGAGGGGTGTACTAACGAGTTTGTGTCAGGAGAAAAGTAGGTTATGCGCATCCTGGGGTGTTTGTGCATTTCTCCCAGTCATCTGACTGTCAGTTTGTTGGATGTTAATCATCTTCTGCAGGATAAAAATCAACATGTTTTCTACTCTAATATTTGACCTTTTAAACATTCAGTGTTTTTGATTCAGAATATACTCATTATCCCTCGTCTTCCCAAGTCTGATTGAAAATGCAAAAAACTAGTTAGAGAATAGATCGATAATGTCAGAATTTCACTCAACGAGCATACACTGTAAAATACTGACTTACCTAAATCACTATGGGTGATATTTTTCTGGGAGACACAGGAAGTGCGAAAAGAGGATGGCTAGTGAAAATGACTTAAGAAAAGGAGAGATACAAAATCCAGATTATTTTTTTTTTCTTGTAATTTTAAGTTACAATATTTGGGGAGGCTAAAAAGTGGGCTTCAGAATGAGATGGTAAGTAATAGAGAAATGAAGTATGAGACAAGTGAAATGTTTTCTGCTCCCAGAAGACATTACATCTTGTGAGATAAGGTCCATCGGGAATGGATTTTCCTATGATTTCTAAGAGATTAGGGATTCCAACCCTGGAAAATGGTGAATGATTTTCAAAAGAAAAGGTCGTTAATGTTTGGTATTGGGTTACCATGCTACGAATCAGCATTCATCTCTGGGTTCTGCTATACGTTTCTCTGAGCTCTTGGACAGGTTTTTCAATTTGCTGTGCTATTCCATTTCTCCTCTGTAAAGTAAGAATGGGAAGTCATCCCTTCTCCTGCTTTCTCCTCTCTGGCTATTGGTACCTGTCCAAAGGATCACATAAACTGTGCCTTGCTCTGTAGCTGTTTACTGACTAATCCAGTAGGAAACCAATCTGAAACTCCTGGATGCCACCACATATAAATAATAATGTTGTCCTCCTGCGATGTTCAGCTCGGAGGATTGTCACTTGCAATTACATTCAGCATTGTATGTGAGGATGCCAAGCCCCCCAGGGGATGCAGGGTTATCTAATTACTCTACTGTAAATAAAACCCAAGCACTGATTACTGGTATTTATATACTAATAATCAGAGGGTTTGGTTGGAATGAACAGAAATGTGTTTATCCATGGATGACTTCACTGGTCATGCATAGAGTTTACAAATTACAATCTTTTGACTGTAAATATAAGAATCTGCTGAATTCCGTAAGTCGGTATTTTTAGAATGACAGTGCCATTTCTTGCTTCGGGGCATATCCGTGTAACCATGCTGGCTCCAATGGAATAATGTGGTTGCAACAAGAGGCAGAATTTGGCTACCAAAAGTCTGTCTTTCATTTCTTGGTGTGTTAAGAGTAAAAAAAGACCCAGGGTTGTAAAACGATGAGCTGTTAGGATCTTTTTTGAAATCCATATGGGTCAGTGTTTATGCTGTGCTTCCCTTCTTCTTTCAGCCTCACATGCACATGGGATGCAAAGTAGAAAATGAGAAGAAGTTCTTGTGTGCTCTTTCAATAAGCATTTTTGGTGGTCCTTGTAAATTACTGCCATTTCCCTTAAATTTCACTGCCTTTGTTGAAAGAACAAGAAGAACTCTCTTCTAATACAATTTTAGATAGATTAAATTCATTTTATCACTGAAGTTGCTTTGTCTTCAGAATATCCTTTTGATTTAAGTGTATTTTTTTTCTTGTGGCTGAACTGCATTGCACTGGCAAGAAATTAGTTTGGGAAGTCCTTGTACATGCTTGGTCTTGGATTTTGCTGTGTCATGAGTGAATTGGCAGCTGTAAAGTCTGTCAACCAATTTCTGTGTCAGTAAACTAACATAATAATGTGTTTGCAGGGTCAAGCTGTTGCTCAGCTCTGTTCAACTGTTCCCAATGTTACTGTTTTTGGAACAGCTTCATCTTTCAAACATGAAGCAATCAAAGACTCAGTAACTCACCTGTTTGACAGAAATGCAGACTATGTTCAAGAAGTAAAAAGGTAATCTTTTATTTTCCTGAGTAAGGGTTGTACAGTATCTGGCAAAATACTAAGAAGGACACCAGGATGATCATATTTATGGGAAGAGATTAGATTTGTGAGTTTAGGAACTGTAGTTTATTCCAGATATTCCATCTGTCTGCTGAAAGAGACAAGATAGCAAGTATCTGCCTGTTTCTTTATAAGCAACATAAGCTTTGTTAGTGCACATTCATACTTGGACATCTGTTGCAAGCAAAGTAAATGAAGTGAAAAAGAATAAAGGATGTACTTTGCTACTGTCTGCACATGTAGTAGCTCACTGTAATGCACTGAGTAAGACTTTTTCAGTGGATCTGTAAGTTATCCAGGTTTTGGAGTTCTCTGGTGTGTTTCCATCTGCCTGGGTTTTTATCCTCTGCCAGGGATTGATATCAGAGCACATGATGTCTGTTTTAATTTCAGATCCTTAGATTTTGTTTGTTTGCATTCAGATTAGAATCATGCTGTTGCCTTTTGAAGTAATCATGTGTGTTTCTATTTACATGTTTTCAAATACTTTGTTTTCCAGTTTGTCTGTTTTTAGATATTGATGTTGATACAGGTGGCAGAACTTTAGAATTGATAAGAAAATCTTAGTAAAAAATGCCTTTTTGATTTTACTTGTCAGACAGATAAGAATGTTTTCCCTTCATCTTGTATCTGTCAAAATACTTGATTATGTAGCTGGGTGTAAAACAAGAAATTTCTCACAGGGGCGCCCCAAGGTAGTACAGGCTTCCTGTCAAACGTACGTGTTCCTCGGCGTGACCTGCGAAGCCTCAGGAGGTCTCTTAGTACGAGGGTTACTAGCCCTCAAACAAGGCCTGCAGCATACAGCAGGCTTTTGTCTGAGCTGTTAGCAATCCAGACTGGTGTTGGAGGAGAAAGCAGGGGCTCTACTCTTCTTGGAGCACTCGCAAGGGCTTAAGAGGACATTTGAAATGATCCATCACAAAGGCTATTTTACATCTCAGGAAATTTCTTCTTTGTGGGAAGTTTCACCAAAAAAGATAGGACTGGTCCAGCAGATGAGACCCCTGCCATTTTCTTACACCTCAGAAGAATTGCAGCACATTTCTTCAGCCCTTTGGTAGCCTTTCTCCTGGGGAAGTATACATAGCTGTGTTTTGCTGCCCCTGGAAAATTGCTGTGGCGAGTTGAAGACTGAATTCTAGCAATCCCCACTTTGTAAACATTGATTCAGCAAGAAAGAACGCTTGAAAACATTAATCAGAATTCAACACCAACCTTAATGCTAACTCCTGGCAAGGGCAGCAGAAAATCTGATCTAAGTGGGTATGTGATGTGGGAGCAGATACAACAGAAATCAGTGCTTAAAAAAAGGGGGCGGGAAGGAATAAAAGCCCTTTTAACTTCTGATAACTTTATGATTGCAGATAACGTTGGCTGCTTCTGCCCTTCATCAGGACAGTTCTTTTTGGGACAGTTCCCTGACACCACCCCTGACTCTGTGTAACAGACTGTAATTACTGAAATCAAAAGGAGACCTGGTTACGAAGGGGTGGAGTTCTGCTCTGTTAAGTCTGCTAAGATCCCTTTTAGTGATCCTGCATTTTCACATACTTTTTCACCTCGCAATAGACCAATGAGGCAGGAATCAGTGGGTACAAAAGATAAAATGTAGATGCAACAAGCTAGTTTGGGCTTCTTTCATGGTATAGAGGTGTGTAGTATTAGCACAATTGATAGTCCTGATTCAAAGTCAGGATTGGCATCCTGTAGAATATGCCAGTGCTCTGATTTGTTGCTTAGATCTGTGTATTTTTTACTTTGCATTGAAAGAATAATAAAAGTAGAGTGGTAATTCTGAGACTGCTATAAAGACAAAATGAATTTCTAGATTGTCTTTTGAAAGAGGCGTTGGGGGGGACAGTGTAGTTTGGTTTGCTGGATATTAGCTGTGTACTGTGTTCTGCTTAAATTGTTTGTCTGGTCAGCAAGGAGTCCAGCTCATCCCTTCACCTGGCTGTTGTACGCTGAGTCACGGGGAGTCCCAAGGGAAGGGGAAGGCGCTTCCTTTAAGGGTCTGCGAGCAGGAGAGGGTGGGCCTGTGGTTGAGAAAGGATAGTGGTAGGAACCTGCTTTATTGCAGGTGACTGGGGTATTCTGCGGAAGAGCTTTCATCAGGGAGCAAAGCCTAAAAAAGCCACAAACCAGCCACCCCCAAAACCCCACACGAATGACCAAACAAAAAAGCCCCAACCCACAGAGGTGATAGGAATGTGGAAATGTTCCTAGGGGATGAGGAATCAGTTCAACCATGGAAGCCACCAAAAGCTGTTCAACTGCAAAGTCATTATTCATTTACAGTGAAAGCCCATCCAGTGCCCTGAACATAAACAATTTATTACCCCACAGGTGGCAGCAGTACCAAAGAGTAAAGTTGTCCGATTTTACTGCTGTTTGTAACCAGTGGATGGCTGAGTATCACCTTTGTTGTGTGAGGAAACAGAAAGATGCATTACAAGCTATAAAGCTTTACCTCTTTCCTGACTTCTGATTGCAGTTGTACCACTGCGGAAGGCATGGTCATCAGGAGCTGATGGGCGTTCCCAGGGATTAGATGCTATCGACTGCCCCTTAAACCTTTGATAGTCTCCAGGTTGCAATTTTCTTTTAGTATCTGCAGCAGTTATTTGCATAATTTTTGAAGAGTGTTAATCAAGAATTTGCTACTGCTTGGGCTATTTACTTGGTCAGTAGGTAGGGTATTAGATCAAACTAGTGATAGGATTTTGCAGAAAAAAGAACTACATCAGGATATTTGGGTGTCTGTTTTTCTTCTTTAGCATTCTATTCACATTGCATTCACAAAGCTATTTATTGGAAAATTATAAATATGCAACCCATTTATGGAAACAGTATAAATACTTTCTGCTTTCTATAATATGGCCTGTTTGTATCCTTCGAGCAGGGTTTCTAGGTCTTGGTGACTTCTCTATGCTCAATTTAACTCTTTGCTGGCATCTAATTGATACAGACTCTGAAACAGAAGACTCTTTAAATAACTTTACAAGGACGTGATTTTATCTGAGAAGAACTAGGATAAGAATAGCTGTTTCCTTAGGAATTCAGAAAAAGAATATAAGATGATGTGAATAACGAAAGTGTCCTTTATGACATTCATTTGACCAAAAAAAAAAAAAAAAGACATTCTCTGACATTCACATTCTCTCAAAAAGAGCTTTATATCCATCACCTGTTTTTGTGATAATATAATTGTACTGAAAGTCCTCAAAAAGGGGGAATGAGATGTTTTCCCACTTGTCTAAGCCTGAAAGGCATGGGTTGGGCAGCCCAACAAACACGCGTTCCAGCACTGAATGACTTTGAATTGTCTTTTGATGAGGAGAAACTTTTCATGTAGTCAGAGCCTCAGCATCAGAGTCCTTTCTAAAGTACCCGGAAAATCTTAGTATTATGTTAACAGTCAGCCTGTATCATGCTGACTGACCAGTCCTGTGGATCTTACTGCAAAGTGAGATTTGAGGTCCCTTCTAACCTGGTATTCTATGATTCTATAGTCTATGATTTCTTTCTTGCTTTTTAGAATCTCGACAGATGGAGTAGATATTGTTTTGGACTGTCTTTGTGGAGAAAATACTGGGAAGGGGCTCAGTCTTCTCAAACCACTTGGAACTTACATTTTATATGGTGAGTGGAAAAAGCCAGGTACATATTTCAAAACTAAAGCTTTGCAAAGCTTAAAATCTGTTAAAATCATCCATGCCACTCCTTCCAGAACTGGAGGCTGCCATGTTACACTTTCTCAATTTGACCATTTCAAATCAAGGATTTTAGTGAAGCTGAGCATGGACTAAATTGAGAAACAATAGGTAATACAAAGAAACTCTTAAAAAAAAAATTTAAAAAATCCAAAAGTGAAACCGAACATATGTTTCAGACTGTTAAACGTTACTGTATGATACAGGAGAAGTGTAGGAGAGAGCTTGGATCTCTCATTGTACACACTCTAGGAATCACAGTGTGGCCAAGGAAACTGTGATATAGTT